CCACTCCGTCTTTCTAACTCTCTGATACAGAAATTGCTAACTCTTTGTCAACCAAGACATTCCATTTATTCCCGCCCTTCGAAAGATTTTTGCCTTTGGGATGCAAATAGGATAGCATCGAAAAAAAATCACATTGCCAGTGTCTATCGGGTGTTATGTCCATACAACAAACGATAATTGATGAAGGACATTCCTCGAGCTTGGATGTTAGACGGAGAATCGCAAGACACCATCCTTTCTCCGGATCCGATGCTCCGTCTTTGTGATGGTCCCAAAATTTTCCAAGATCGTCGACATCATTAACATCATCCATTTCCTCCTCACACTGTTCTCCCTCATTTTGACTTTCTACAAATCCCATGTCTTTCGGTCCTTTGTATTTGTACTCCAAACCAAAACTTAAGCATGCTAGAGGCGTTTCGCATCCGCTATGGACAACAACTTCAGCACATGTTCCTACGCTTGTTGCGAAGATGGTTTTTTCATCTCTAGCATTGCATTCAACACGCATCAATTCCCAACAATTTTCCAGAACTCCGGACACATCATCCGTTCCAGAGCTCGCAAGGGCGTCTAAGAACTTTGCAAAAACCTTATCCGTTGTTGACTGTGAATCAAAACACTCCGTTGCATTATATTTTAAAACATCTTCGAATTATTTCAAAATTTCAATCACACCGGCCAAAAACGTAAAAGTGGTGTGTGCACAATTCGCAGACGTACACAAATTTATCCACTGCGACAACATCACGTACTCACCCTCATTCACAGACACACACGACAACTCGCACACAGATTGCACATGCTCTTTCTCAACAACCCTCCGAAAGTGAAGAAGAGCCTACAGCTCAACAACTTTCGGTTTCAATACATCATTCTGGCCAGGCACAAAGAATTCGTGACTTTTCACTCTCTTTTTAAAATTCGCTTTTCAACGACGTTTCTCATGTGAACCCTCGGTGCGTGATTTCGATTTGTTGATTTCGTATTGATTATAAAGCCACTCTGCTAGGTTTTCAAACTTGTGACCTGGAATATTGTGCCCTGGACCTCTTTCCATTATCTCGGCAGGTGGATTAGCATTTCTTACTTTACACAAGAAGTCTAACGCATGATGCATCCTATCAACATTCCGTGTCACTGTTTTATCAGTGTCAATGCGCACATCAAAATATGTAGGTATGCAATCTTGCAGGATTTCCAACTCGTTTTTGGATTCGTAGTCAACACCTTCCTTCGCATACTTGAGCATCATCTTCCATGCACGTGTACGTTGTTCAATAGTCATATCCATCTGTTATGCATGCACGATGGTCTCTCTCTCTCTCTCTCTGTGAAACAAAAGCAGGAATCATACGATGGAAAGGTGGTGAGGCTCTGCTTCAACAACATAGTCGAACATAGAAAAATGCACAACCACGTTCCTAACCTCTCTGTCTCTCACATACACACACACATACGCACACACACATACACAATCACACACACACATACACACACACATACACACACACACACACACGCACGCACACACACACACACACACACACACACACACACACACACACACACACACACACACACACACACACACACACACACACNCACACACACACACACACACACACACACACACACACACACACACACACACACACACACACACACACACACACACAAATAAGGAGGACCAAAATGATCGAAAGGTGGTGAGAGTCCGCTTCAACAACATGGCCTAACATATGAATTTACATAATCACTCATGATGCGATTCTTGTTCAAAGTCAGTCTAGGTCGGAATTGTCCGGCAGGAGCGATGCAGAGAAATGGCAATATTACAAATTTTGTCTGCACCTCTTCCAGGGGAAAGAAGACTGTATAGCATGGCTAAAAGGAACGTTAGGAGGAAAGAAAAGTACAAAAGAGCGAAAGACTCGCTTTCCAAAAAAAAAAATATTCATGGTACGTGGCATGGCATGTTGCAAGGCTCGTTATTGCTACAACATGTCGCCAAAGGAAGTCCGAAAGGTTAGACAAGGATTGTACTGTAAGAATCCGGAAGAGCGAGTGGAGTGGTTGATTAAAAGTTTTAAAAATTTCATGCTAAATGAGGGAGGATAGAAATGTGTCCGTCGTGTAGAGTTGGAACGTTCGATGTGTGTCAAGGTGTACTGCATTGTTCTCAATGTTTCTCGTAATACGTTTTATAGTTACAAGAAGCGCTTCGACAATGGCTTTGTGGGTTGCGAGCATGGGCTGACGGGTAGACATCAGCCTACAGAAAAGACGGTTGTCATGCTTGCCAGCATGAAAACATTCATCAAGTGTCATGCGTATAGCATGCCGAATGAGGTGGCTCATGAAGGTGGGGTTTACAGACTGAAACTTCGACTGCCAGCTGTTTTTACGAAGAGATCAATTTATGAGTGCATCAAATCAGAGTTTGTGGTCGTTGGCCTCGAGGTCGTGTTCAAGTCCAACTTTTATAAACTATGGCAGAAACACTTTTATCACATTTCGCTCGCACAGTCTAACACATTCACGAAGTGTGTCGTTTGTCATGAACTGAAAGAATGCATGCACTATGTTTCTCTTCCTTGAGATCGACAACGAACTCGGGAGGAGATGAAAGTTCACTGAAGGCGGGAAGTTAAACACAGATTGGACTATAGTCGAGCGAAGATTGATTCGATGGTCCACTCGAGCGAGTATTTGTGTCTCATCATTAACGACATGGATAAAAATAAGACGATTATCCCCGAGATTGGTCAAGCGAACTACTCGAAAGCACTTAGGCAAGAGATGATGATGAATACCAATCTGACACGTGTCATTGCACACGGTAGAGACCCTAGTATTTATGTCTACACGTGGTTTTCATATTTCAAATATGGTTCAAACACAATCGATACTTGTCTTATGAGAACCCTCGTCGAAATTCAAGCGAGCGGGAAACCACTACCACCTTTTTTGCGCATTCAACCAGATAATTGTTGGCGGGAAAACACGAACAAGTACATATGTGCGCTACCTGCACTCTTAGTTAAGTTCAAAGTTTTCAAAGAGGTGGAAATAGGTTTCATGCTGGTGGGACATACCCATGCAGACGTTGACGTTATTTTCAGCGTCTTCTCGAATAAATTGAAAGACATAGACGGTTATACTATGGACGAGTTCTACGGGCTTATAAAGCAATCCCACAAAAAGTCTCCCAAATGTATTTTTCTCGATACACTTGCAGATTTGATAAGTATAGTAGACCCATTCGTTGTGTCGGACATTACTGCTATTTCGAAACTGCATATGCATAAATTTTATATGGTTGGAGTTGGTTGCGGCCTGTTAATAGTAGGCTCTGCTCTCTGAGAAACTCGGGATGAAGGTGGGTAGAGGACCGACCCTTTGCAGGACTTGAGGACGAAGAAGAATTGTGATTAGGAGGAGAGATGAGTCTTTTCGGTCTCAGTTGATACGATGTCTGAATAGACATGTGAAAACTACTATTAGACCTTTGTTTTATATGGTTAGATGTATCGACAATGAGCAAACACATGGCAGACTGTATGATGACCTCACACGGACATTGATCTTGATTGAGAGAACTTTGCTGACCGCCAGATGTAAGGGGAATGTGACTTCTGAAGATATCGCTCAAATCTGGCAAATGTAGTGGTTTTCTCATGGTGCATTATGAGTTTTTGCTACTCTATCTTTGAGGGATATCGGTTTTATTTTGAGAGTGTATGATGTATTGAATACGGGCCACGGTAAGCCCTTTTTCCGGTATTTGGGGACTGTATGTGTGTTCAATTTATCTTGGTTAAAGGGAAGAAGGTTGTCTCGCCGGTGGATCTTACTCCGAGATTCGAACGTGGTGAGTGTTCGAACCACGGAACTGCCATACCTGAGAAAACACAAGGGGAACAGAGACTAAACAAGGAGGACCGAGATGAGAGAGAGGACGAACCGAAGACTCCACTCACAGGAGGATATAAGGGACTTTCAGAGGGATGCTCTCAAAAGGGGCTGATCGAGTACTCCATTTCTGCCCATAAGATTTACTCGGGAAAGAGTGCGCCGAATCTCAGGAAATTATGCGATAAGAAAGGCATTCGTTACACGAGGAAACCTGAGGTGGCCGAGCTGCTAACCAGGCAGCAAGTCAAGCTGGCATACGAAGGATTCGATGAGAAGGAGGAGGAGGGAAGTGCGGGCAAGAAGGGGAAGGAGAGAGCTCCGTCGACGCCGAAAACCGAGGTTAGAAAGGACCGCATTGTGCATGAACGGACTACCAGAAGGCAGCCCCGAATTATTCTGAGATCTACACCCGCGCAGCCCGAAGAAGGCTCGAATTGACGGTGTCGAGCTCCCACGAATGCCGAGCTATGGGAAAGACTAAACTATTGGTTTAACCAACTCTCAGTCTTGCGGGAGCTCAACGCTAGTGGTGATACAACTAGGAAGGTTGAATGTGCCATCACTTTCACTACTATCCTTTTGGCGGTAAGAGGACTGATGCCGTGGCTTGAGAAATACCTGTTGAGAACGCAGGACTTGAGTAGGCTCTTGGACCTCAGTTCCCCAGGGATCTATGTTGTAGCTAGTCCCTGGTCAAGGAGGACATATGTTGGATGCACAGTGAGACCGATCATACAACGCTGGCCGGAGCACTGCAAAAATGCCAGAAACTATGCGCTGGGTCTCACACCACACCTTTACAGGTGGCTGCGGGCTTTTGGATTGGAAAGATATGTGGTATTACCAATTCGTCACACAGAGAGGGTAGACGACTACGCATATGAGAAATTTCTGATAACAGGTTTTTCTCCTAGTCTGAACTCGTGAGATATCGATAAGCGCGAAATTAGCAGACGGAGGAAGGTGAGAAGAGGCCGAAGGGAAAGAAGGGGTAGATCAACACTAACTCGTGTCAAGGAGACGGTAGCTAGATGTAATCAGGGAATTAATTTTATCTCTGTTTACAATTGGCTAGATTCCAGGAGTGGAATGGAGGATTTGCATGAGGAGGTAAATTTCAATAGGGGAGTTGTGTGGATTGATGGTTGGAAGGCGATTAAAAGAGTCTTTGGGGAAACAAGGCTCTTGATCGCTGATAAACGGGTGTTGCTAAAGCATGCTAAGGAGCGATTGCAACAGGGAGGTACTGTAGTCTTCCGGCGAATCGTGAAGATGAAAACTACGACGGAGAAGAATAAGCAGCAGCTCACATCACTCCTTAGACGCCCGAGACCGGTTACACAACTGGCGAATCTGACTACGAACAAGCTTATAGGGCTATACCGGGCAGCTGGTTGTTTCACAGAGAAGAAAAATAAGCTTGCTTTACGTTGGAGGATTGACAGCGCAATCAGGAAGAAGATAGGTACTGGAGTAAGGAGGAAGGTCAATGTGAAGCTACGTTTCGACTCCTGCATACGAAAGCGCGGGATTCGGAGGATGGTCGAGCGAGTGATTGACTGCAAGCTACGAGACAATGTTGTAGCAGCTTTCATGAAGACCAGGATCCGAGTGGTTTGGATGAGGAACAAGACGGTGGGACAACTGTTACATAACCAGAAGATCTTCGCAGTGGAGGAGGAATTCCTGTGTAAGTGTGACAGATTCAATCTCTCGAAAGTGGAGGGCCATGTGGCGACAAGGTTTGCTGATCTGGACGACGTTCCGACATTTCTACGTAACTCGAAGAACATCACGCGAGTTAGCACGACACTGAAGAAGGACACTTTGATCCAGACGGTCCTGGACGTGACAAAGCACATCCGGGGAGCGGCGCCAACACTTAGAGTCCCCGAGGGCATCATTGATGAGGGGAGGCTCACATCACTGGCCAGGACGGATGTCGAGGTTAAGAGATGGAGCAAGGGACTAAGTGGCTTGGTTTTGGTGCCGGTAGACCGAAATCAAGGGGACACTGCCGTCTTCTGTTCGGTCCTGTACAGACACGCTTTTGGGAAGATTTTTCTGTGGAACACCAACTACCACGAGGTCGGCACGATCGAGTCGGAGGCTGAGTTTCTGACTCGCTGTAAGAGGGATTTCACGGAAGCAGGACTGCATGTTTTTGGTCTTGGCGAGCTGATGGTAGATTGGGAACGGCGTACGTAATTCCCAAGCATAAGGACCTCGGAAGGTGGAGGCCGATAGCACCATCTCCTTCCAACCTTGCAGCAATTACGCAGAAGAGGATAGCGAGGGCATTGCACTATCTGCTGTTGAGGCTCCCGACAAGGAGTTCATTCTACCTCAATTCAGTTGCTGATCTGCGGGAAGGGATGGAATCAGCAACACGAAGAATGAATGCAGCTGGCTGCTGGCATGTGGTGGGAAAATGTTACGATATTAAGGAAATGTTTTCACGGATCTCGCATGAAGCCGTGATTCAAGCAGTAGAGCAGTTACTTTGCACATTCGAAGACAACGGCTTTAAGTCTGTGAAAGTTTCGTACAAAGCAAAGGCCTGTGTCATCAGCGACACGAGCAAGAAGAGCGAAGGCTATGTCAACTTCACACTCCATGATCTGCTTCGAGGGGTCCGATTTGATCTCAAGCACTCGGTAATTCGGTGCGGGAAGAAGATAATGAGGCAAATCTTTGGAATGCCGATGGGGAAATCCACGAGCCCTGTTCTGGCCTCAATCACATGTGCCATGACGGAATTCCGTTTTCTAAAACAATTGGGAGCAGACGAGAGGTTGATCCACGGATGACGCATTATGGACGACATTTCGATTGTGATCGGGTTTAACCACTCGGTACACGATGAGCATTTTCCAGCGAAGTTGTTCGATCGTTTTGAGAAGATTTACGACGAGAATCTTGAAGTCGTACGGAAGGATGACTGTGGCCTAACTTGGCAGTTTGTGGGAGGCTCGATTTTCCTCTGTAGCGAGACGCTGAGACTACACTACGTACCACTGACAAAGAATACCGAGCCCTTGATTGAACGAGATTGTCTGATTTTCCAGACAATGCAGGATTTCACTTCTTACTCAGAGAAGAAGAAAGTGGTACTGACTGCAACAATCCAGAGGTTGTGGGAGCAGTCAACGAGCAAGGCACTGGTTTTGGATACGATAGCATGCGCTGTATTCGAAGCAAACCTCCGAGGATACCCCCCGGAGGTCTCTCTCGGTGCCCTGGCTGTTTTAGCCAAGGCTGCGAACAATCAGGCGCCTAGGAGGATGCTGGACGCTCTGAGATCCCTGATAGTAGGTCGGCGGGGACGCCCATACGTGGACTGGACGCTCTGAGCGAAATCGGGCTCTTTGGCCCAACGGTCCTCTATATCTTACGTTTTACTTTGTCGCCGGTGTTTTTGAGTCCATTGTTTTGAATCTGGTGTTTGAATTCCTTCGGACTCTATGTTGGTCTTCCTATTGGGCGGACACATGTAGACGGGGCTTAGGTATTTCGGGTATAGGTTTTGCATGTGTCGTTCCGTAGCTCTTCAGAGTTTTTAGGGTGGGGAAATATGGTTTTTTCTCAGAATAGTCAGTAAGCACCGGACCTCTAGGCACGCCGAGTGCTAGCAATTTTTAGACCTTTGAACCCGGACCACTAGGCAAGCCGGGTACGAAAAAGAGACTTGTAGGGAAGAACCCGGACCACTAGGCAAGCCGGGTACGAGAAAGCGACTCGTAAGGGGAGAACCCGGACCACTAGGCTGGCCGGATACGAAAATGATATTTATAGGCAAGTATACGTAGACGCTAGGCTTAGACGCTGACTGTTCAGACGACCGACTTTCTTGTATTCCACTGTTTCTTGACTCCGACCGAAACAAGTTGCCTGCTGACTCGCGAGCGATAGCGTTCACAGGCGCATGAAAGTTATTTATACGAGGTAGCAAGGCCTTCGTTTCCTTGTTTCGGGCACACGAACTCATGAGAGTTCACCCTCCTGAGGAGACCTACGTTGGTGGTGTGGGCGAAACCGGTCGAGGGGTTCCACCGGTGCATCGAGTTTTGCATGGCAGCGAGGAAGAGTTGGGCTATGGACGTTGTGAACATGAACTGATGGTATTTTGTATTTTGTATTTCTGTTTACAGTGTCTCGTCCTACATCTGTGTCGCTGCAAAGACTGTGTGGCCACAGTTTGGCAACTCTCTCTCTTTCTCTTTCTCTCTCTCTCTCTCTCTCTCTCTCTCTCTCTCTCTCTCTCTCTCTCTTTCACACACACATACACACACACACACACACTTTCACACACACACACACACATAGGTTTGTCCTTAATGACCTCACATCTCAACAGTCCTATATTTTCTGCTTCTACATGTTCAACTATTCTAAGTGTCTCCTGATTGATCTACACCATTTTCTCCTCCTTTCTACCTCTTCCGAATCCTTTCCAGCCAAGTTTTCTCATAACTGACCAAAGGTGCTGGTGGTATACATTTTGCAGCTCTCTTCTTCCAACCACTCGCAACTTCATCATTTTGTATTATAATAACAGTGTGGAGATCCTTTGGAAGGATTGTCAGACGATTTGCGCAAGATGCAACCAATATAGCATCTTGGAACAATCCTGTCAGCCACTGCTCAGAATACTCATGGAGAGTCTGGAGCACAGCCAAATGCACACGAGCATCTGCTTGTCTATCTTGCATTATTTCGCGAACGAACCAGTAAAACAAAATTTTGGGAATCTTTATTTTCACAGTTCGCTGCAAGTATCGAATTTCTTGAAGACTTGTCTTTCCTGGAGGCGCGCTATCGGACCAAATACCCTTACAAGGGTATTTGGCCATGTTTTTGCATTCGACACAGCGACGACATCGGCTACCATGACGGGGCCACTCTGAAATGAAAAGAGTATGCGCGCTTTAGCGTGACACCTGAAAAACGATTTCCTCGGCTATTGAGGCCGGGGCAAATCGGTGAGAAATTTTTGTTTAGTATGCGCGCACATCATCGTGACACGCGCTGTGATGGTTAAGATCGGTAGTAATACTCTTCAATCGAAAAGGGTCGAGGGGTTGATTGGGTTAATGGTGTGTCGGGTAGATCTACGACACGCGTTGAGACTTGGGTTGGTACCTGTCTATCTACCGGTACTGGGCCTCTAAAAATGCTAACTTTTGTCTTCTTTTATTTGGCCTTGAGTACTCGACACATCTACCTCTACTTAATGTGGTACCAACCCACTTGTTACTTGAGTATTTTCCATGACTCTTAAGTGTCCCGGACCTCTTTCCCCGCCACTTGCGTGTTTTCCTGACCGCGACCCGCAATGTACCGGCCACAACTAAGTATCGGCCCTTCGGGCCTTCAGATCAACTAAGTACCCAGGCGGGTCGCACACACACTCAAGCCGACAAGCACTCAGGCAGGCATGCCGGCCGGCAAGCGTGCGAGCACGTAGAAATGGGCTCAGGCCACTAGGCGGACTGAGCCCCACTTAACATATACCCGAGCTGCTCCTCTTCAACCTGAAGTAGGAGCTAGCTCAATGGGTATCGATACAGATTGGGAATCGGGTGACTTGGGGATTGAATCCATCCGACCCTGAGCTAACTCCTTTTTGCAGGGAGCTCAACTTTAGCCCCGCGGATAGCTTGCGGGGACTTGAACTCGCGACCTGAGTGTTAGGATTAGTTATAGTTAGTAGGTCTGCCCGACATTTGGCAGTTTAGGGTAGTTAGTAGTTAGATTTTTAGATTTTGTTCTTTTCTTTTTAGATTTCTTAATTTTTTTTTATTTTCGTTGAGTTAATTTTCTTTTCTTTTCATTTCAGCGTGAACGAATCTCTTACCTTATCGTATCTGTCCCGAATTTCCGGCAAATTCACTCTTGAGAAGAATTTCGATCCCACTGCAATCTTGATCGAGCCGGGGTTCACCTGCGGTTCCAGACGAGATCGTTGTAGTCAAGGCAGGTGGGGAGCGTGCGGGAGTGCACGCGCGGATGTTCAGGAAAATAAGTGTGGGGGTATCGCACGCAAGCGAGAGGGGAGATGACCGGTCAGTAGGTAGAGTCGCGCGGGCAATAGCGGATATGGCCGTGAAGGAGGAGGAGGTGAGCGGGGGAAAAAGAAGAAGGAGAAGAAGCGGGGAGAGCAGGGGAAGAGGAGGTAGAACGCCTTGAGCAGCAAGTAAGAAGGCATCGCGCAGGAGGGAGAGAAGGATCGTGCAAAGGGGGGAGGAAAGATCGCAAGAGAAGAAGCGATGCAAGGAGGAGAAGGCGCGTGTATGAATATTTGGTCCACGACGAGCGTGGGCTTGGCCAAACGAGTGAAGGCAACGACAAAATGCGCGAGTGAAGGAGAAAGACAATCGCGCAGGGAGTAAAGGAAGATGGCTGCGCAGAGAGGGAGAGATCGTCGCCCGAGGAAGGATGTGGCAGCGCAGAGGAAAGGCGACGGCGATGCCCAGTGGTGGCAATAGCGGTAGTGGCGTTAGATGGTTGTAGTAAGAGGAGATGAAGAAGGAGGAGGAAGAAGAAGAAGGAGAAGAGAGAGAAAAGGGGGAGGAGGTTATCACGCAGGAAGGAGTAAGGGCGCGACTGCACAAAAACGAGCGTGGTACAATGGAGAGAAAGCACGTGCACAATAGCAGGAAGGGACTGTGCCTGGGTGATGGGTCTGAGCGGCATAACAGGGAAAAAGATCAGCGCGTGACATATCGGAAATGAAGAAGAAAGCACGTGCAGAATCAAGAAGAAGAAGAAGAAGAAGAAGAAGAAGAAGAAGAAGACGAAGAAGAAGAAGAAAAAGAAAAAGAAAGAAGGGGGAGAAAACGGGGAAAAGGGAAATTCACCTGGCATGCAATCAATGATGGTGATGTTCCGGGCGGGGGTCTTGGGACCTTGTACTTGAGTTATGAGGGGCTCAATGCACATGCTTTGGGTGGTTCCCAGTTGCGAGGGACGAACGAGTCGTTGACGGAAGAATCTCCAGTGCAGATCGGACGTTGGATCAACTCTTTCGGAGGGTTTTCACAACGGCATCGAGCAACGTCAGCTAAGCGATGATGGGGACGAGTAGAGATAAAACAGGTAAGTCTTCAAACTCGCGTTTGCCTCCTGCTACTCTCATTGATAGGATGAGCAAAACCGACTATCTTCTGCTACTTTCGTCGATAGGATGAGTAAAATTGAATGAATCTACCGCTAGAACATGGAAATATACACTACCACACATTCCAATAGGATGAGATAAAATCTAATGTATCTACCGCTAGATCATGGAAAGCTACACCACTACGTGCGAGCGTGCGTGTGTGAGAGTGCGCGAGTGTGTGTGTGTGTGTGTGTGTGTGTGTGTATGAGTGTGTATGTGTGAGAGAGAGGAAGAAGAGAGTGTGTGTACGAGT